GACATCCACAAACGTAAGTGAAAAGAACCGCGTATTGTTTTTTATATCAGAATCTAAAGCCTTGTCTCCGCTGATGCGTTTACGAAGCGTTTCCGTGTCGGTTCGGACACAAGATTAAAACAACGCGAGCTACGTTTTTTGGTATTTCTCTGTCATTAAATCGTATCGAAAGGGATTGATCATGTTGTAAAGTCATGATTATAGTGTTTGTATCTGATATGATACCTCCTTATGTACCTTATTGCAAAAACGTTGTCGGTTTGCGAAAAGACGATATCATAAAAGCTAAGACCGCTATATTTGGTACTGAAAAAGTCGAATCATATTCGACTAAACGTATTACATTATACCATTACTTTTAGAGGTCATCTCTGGTATCTCTGCGCGCCCCTGCAATATCTATTTCTCCACGCGCCCATGAAATATTCTCTATGTCTCCACGCGGCCATGCAATATCCTTTATATCTCCACGCGGCCATGCAATATCCTCTATATCTCCACGCATCCATGCAATATCCTCTATATCTCCACGCATCCATGCAATATCCTCTATATCTCCACGTACCCATGCGATATCATCCCTTTTTTAATCACTAACTGATAACCCTCTTCAACAGTTCAACGAGGTGTGCCCTGCGCTGACAAAAGTAGAACCTGCCCACAGTACTTAGCATTGGGTTATTGTGAAAAGAAGTATGTACTTTTTATGTACAAGAACTGTAAGAAAACCTGTGGTCGATGCCATGATGGAAACCCATATGCCACCGACGTTGATGGTACGTACTGTCACATCTCACCGGAATTATAAACTTTTATTCAAAGCAAAGCTTAGCTAATGAGTGGGGAGAGGGAAACTTAGCTTAACTAGCAAAGCAGCTTGTGCGCAATGCATTACTGGGTAAAAACATGGCTTTACTTCTTGCTGGACTACGCTAAGGTTATTAGCATAGTTTACCATAGAATTCAAAGCTTGCCGATTAAATTTTCAAAGTATAAATGTTTATAGCATATTTTGCGATAGACTGCGTCACATCCGGCGTCAAAAAGCGGAAGCATCGCAGGCTCACCGGGTGGATGTGTTGTCTGTACAGAAGGGAATGGTATATAATAAACAGGAAGAAAAGATATGCGACGAGCGGAAAGCTGAAACGAGCTATTTCAGGAAACGTTGAATACTTAATACCGATACGGGTATTCCAAGACGTCAATGAATTGTTGGTTATTCTATCGCTGATAGATGTCAGTTCACAGTGACAGTCAAAAACTTCAATTGAAAGTTTAGAATTGTCATTTTTGAACGCAGCTATGGTGGAGTTTTATACCTTATGCATTGCGGTCTTGGTACGTACTGTGCACTTTCACAGTATTCAGTATTCAACGTTTTTTCAAATAGCTGTATTCAAGGGAACTTTTACTGTTCTCCAACAGTGGGACCTTTGTCAAGACGTGTTATAAGAACAAAGCCGTGCACTAACGCACTGAAAGGATGCAACTATTGGGCTAGAATCGGCTACTGTAGCATGAGACCAGATCTAATGTTAAGAAAGTGCAAGCTTGCATGTAGAGCATGTCATCCAGGTTAGACGATGTTGGTGTATGTAAAGATAGATAAAAACGGTCGTGCAATTGCTGAGCAATGCATTTGAATGTTTTGCTTTCAAGATCGTTGCCATTCMGAATCAGAATAATCTTTTTCTCGGTTCCCTGCGCCATCTTGWAAGGTAGCATCGAAGCGAGACAACCGTTGAGCGTGCAATGATAGAAACCTTCTTTCACACCTAGAGCCAATTATTCACAGGTATCTAACATTGCACGCTCAACGGTTAAATAAGTAAATAAATAAATATATTCAAGTTCATTAGATCGTTTTGCAGTTAAAACTGAATTATAGTAGTAGGTCATATTTACAAGGACTTCATAGTAACAAAAATCGATGTAAAGGCACGACTACCTTTCAAGATGGCGCTGGGAACCGTGAAAAAGACTATTGCTTGATCAGCTGTGCCTTGCTTGTAATATTACTTTGTCTGTAATATATTTTTTTGTAATACTCTGTGGTTGACAAGAATCTAAATAGAATTTCTTTGAATGTAGAAAAGAAATGCGAAAACATTGTAGACGACCACAACTGCAAYCACTGGGCGAAACTAGGGAAATGTTCCTCACGGATGAACTTCATGATTGAGAAGTGTCCGAAATCGTGCAACGCCTGTCCAAGCCGTGAGTAAAGTAGAGTATCAAAGGATTATATCATCGAAGCTAACACTGAAACGCATCATGGGAAGGCGCAACTATAATTATTATGTGTATGACAGTGTCAGCTTGGTTCCMAAACTKAGGAATGTTAAAACGAGGAATATTAATAATGTACACGTTTACCCGGTTTGGTGGTCTTTTTTTCGATGATATAACGGCATTTTGAAACTGCTAACGTTTTCTTCAATTAGATGTAATCTGTGCTTTTATGGTTAATAACGTTTGAATTAATGATTTTATTAATGCATCCATTTACAATTATTTCATTAGGAAGTGTTAAGACGAAACCGGAAAAACCTGTAGGTAAGCTCACGGCGGGGACTGGATATGAGTAAGACCGCAAAGTATCTCTGAGATATTTTGAGTGTCAATCATTTTTAACACACGTGTTAGATTGCCAAAGTAAAAGTAGCCTCCACCGCAGCCGCTGTTAATCAAAATCYWTTGACTCACGTAAGATCAGAATGCATYGWCTCACTCTATTCTCTATTAAGGTATACTTTGCCCAACTGCRTGCAAGAACTGGCTAGARAAGGGATTTTGTTTCAAGTTAAAGAGCCGTTGYCGTCGTACGTGCCTTGCAAGAGGCTGTGATACAGCACCCGTGAGATTGGACGGTAAGAACGTACAATAGCTGTGTTCCTGAGCGGTATCCAACGAATTTCCAGGAAAAAAATATGCAGAAAAAACGCCAAACTGCGAAACATTTGCACAAGGTTGAAAAATGTACAACGCACAAAGAAGATTCGATTGTTGGTCCGATTTAATAATAATGATAATATGAA